GTGATCTGGGGAACTCTCATAAAAAATTCCTGTTGTTGTTTGGAATGTGGTTTGCAACATAATTATTTTTGGTATAATGACAGTTACTACAAGTAAATTAGGGAAATCGCAATGGGTGCAAAGCATGCACCTTGTGTAGCTAAGGTTTTTATGTCCCAATGGGAAGAGATGATGGTTTATTTTGATCCCCTGAAGGAACTTCTGTTGTACAAAAGATTTATTGATTGCCGTCTGGGCTTGTAATGAGAGTTTGAAGCAATTTTTTGACAGACTGAATAGCAATGATAAGAAAATCAAATTGGTTTCTGAATGGCATAATCAAAAAATCAATTTTTGGATCTAGAGATAACAGCACAAAATGGAGTGCTGACCACTAGGACTCACTTTAAAATGGTGGATCGGAATAGCTACATACTCACTGATAGTTGTCATAATTCACCTTGGTTGATCAATATTCCCAAAGGCCAATTAGTACGTCTTCGGAGCAATTGCACAGAAGTGAAGGATTTTGAGGAGCAAGCTCATTTTATTGGTCAATGATTTATCGAGAGAGGCTGAGAAAACATTTGTGCAGAGTAAAATCAATGAGGTGGCCAAACTTGATAGGAACGATTTGTTGAGAGATAAGTTAAGATCTAAGGATGAGACTACATCAGACATCTCAGTCATAATGGATTTTAATATACAGTATAGAGCAGTGGAAAAAATATTTAAGAAGCATTGGTCATTACTGAGAGCTGATAGACACCTACAGGAAATCTTACCAATGCAGCTGAGATTTATTTATAGGAGAGCACCCACTTTAAGGGATAGACTAGTGAAATATGTGATTGAACCTCCTAAAACTAAGAAAGACATTTTTCAATGGGAAAGATTTTTACCCATGCAAAAGGTGTTATACTTGTATGAATACAAAAGAGAATAATAAAAAATGAGAATTGTTTACCTCTACGTCAAATGGAGAATTCCAAATACAAGATTTTATATCCTGCAAAACAGAGGGCGTTGTTTACGCCCCCAATGTTCTTGTGGCCTTCAGTATGTAGGTCAATGAGGTTCTATTGTCCCATTTATATATTAGTCTGTGCACACCTTTATTTATTAATATTATCATCATTTTAATTAATTTGATGCTAGAATATTTTAGTAATGTTAATCATGTTATGCTGTAATCTGCAGATTATATATGTCTAATAGTCTCTGACATCAAGCTTAGCACTTGCCCCTTTAACTGGTCTTGTGTCTGATTGGTGTGGTTGGTGATTGGCAAGTTGAGCGTCCTATTATAACCTACTAGTCTCTGATATCAAGCTTACAACTGGTTTGGATTCTGATTGGTGTGGCTGGTGATTGGCAGGCTGAGGGCTCTATAAATATGTGTGGGCATCACATGGCTCCTTACCCTGAAGAAGTCAGGTGACCGATGATGCAACGCGTCAGTAAGAGCCTAGTAACGTCCCTTTTGGTGCTGCGCAAACTGGAGTGAATAGTGAGATAAACCATCTTTTTTGAGGGATTTTGATGTCTGCTTTGAATTTATCCATCACATACCATCCTATCAAGAATTTTGGAATTCGGTTTCTTAAAGGGCCAGCATCAACGAAGTAGCTACAAACAGGCAGCAGAAGTCGACCATCACTTCTAAGCGTTCATGACCTATTCTTGTAGGTCTAGGAAGGAGGTGAGTGCATGGTACCTGAAGTAGTCAGCACCGTGAAATAATATGAACACTAGAATATTTTAATTTGGAGCACGTATATAGGTTTTCTTTAATGTGAGTGCATATGTTTCAGTCTACTTAGAGTTTAGTTCATTACAAACGTTATTGCACTACTGAATTTTTTTTGTTTTTTATACAAGGTTTGGAGTCAAGACTGAAAGAAGGTATGGTATCTGGAAGGAGTATCACATGGATCACAATTTGGAGGACACACAGTTCATTTAAAAGTGTATTTGACCTATTATAATTTGTAGGTGAAATCTTAAGATGAGCAGGGAGTGGATTTGTTACACATGCACGGTGTGGAATTTTTGATGAGACTGCAATACCAGGACTTTTTTGCATATTGGATTTGACTATTGCTATCTGATTGATTGAAGATTGCATTTTTTGTTTGTTTAATATTTTCCATTTTAATGGGGAGATGTTTGTTTATTTTTTTAAATACAGAATTATATTCCAAATGTTTTGGTAAGATAAGGATAAACAAATCCAATTAGAATGACAAAGTTAACAGTATGTTAAAAGGATAACTAACAGGAAGCACATGATAAATGGCTACCCACTGGGCCTCCTCCAAGGCTCCTGCATCTCTTCCTCTCACTGCATCTTCCACCTGAACTCTCTTGCTGCTGAGCAGACTCAGTCATACTAAAGGGCTGTCCTGACCCCATGCCAAGCCGCCTGCCTGGGGATTGGCCAGGATTCCGTAAGTATGGAGATCAGCCCCTCCTCACCCCCGCCCACTGCTTCTAGAATCTTCTCCAAAATTCTAGAGCAGGAGGAAGTATCAAGAAACTGATTTCAGCCCTGACCCAAATTTGACCCTGCTGACTATTCCGAGGCTGCTTCTCAGTCTTCTTGACTAAAAATGAATAACTAGCTCCCCCTGGCTAGAGGAGCACTATAAGTATGTAACCTGACAAAGGTTTTACTCTTCCTCACTAAGAACGAGCTTTAGGTTTGATTAGACTTTGAGCCCAGCCTGAACCCAAGCTATTCGCTGTTCATCAAATGGGCAAACTTAATGGCCAAATTTGGCCCGGTCGCCTTCCTGAATCTCTGACTTCTATATGACAGCATTTGGTCATTGACATCAGCAAGCTTCTCTAACCGCTTTGGTTATATTCAGCAGTTGGCCAGGGAAATGTCAACAATTATGGCAAATTATCATGTTTGTGTCAGTGGGCGGTTGAGGCATTGTTCATCATGATTGACAAAGGATCTGCATCGCAGGACGGCACAATTGACATTCTACATTCTGCAATCTACATTATGAGAAATTAATTGGGGGATTTTTTTCATATAATAATTTGTATGTGTTTTTTTATACTGTTGATTTATTTTTTTTGTGATTGAGCAACAAGGGGTACTGTGTAATTGTTTATATAGAGGGGTCAAATATCTGGGGGCTCCTATATTCTTTAAGAAGTTTCCAGATAAGCCCCCCACACAGATCCTCACATCCACTAGAGCAGGAATTTGGGAGTATGGGAACATGGTGAGCTGCCAGTAGTGGTCTGTCTGGCAACTGGAAAGCTACTCTCCCCATGTTGTGTGCATGTGTCATGGTATGGTTCAAGAGGTGGGGGTGGGAAACGTTCGCTGCTGCCTCCCCCCCCTTAAGATCTTATATTTCTGAGATCATGTGTGCATCAATCTAAAACATAAAAAAGCTCACATAAAGTTGGATGCATACATCAAAGTCTCCTTTGTCATTAGTTAAAGCTGAGCCATCAGTTTTCAAATTTATTTCTTCAATTTTAGCAAAATACTACTATGAGTTAACCACAACTCTGTTCAGGTGACCTGATCCTAACATGGTAACTATTACAGTTATCCGGTAATAAAAGATATAGTTCTTTTAAAATGACTTCCTTGGTCTAGCAGAAGAAAAATAAGAACAAAAGTTCATTATAAATAATAAAAGAGATCAGCAAAGTTCATGAGGAGAGCAGATTTTCAAATGAGACTATTCTAGGAACACAAGGCCAAGATCGAGGAAAGCTCTCAGGGGTAATATGGGCGATACTATAAAGTTTGCTGAGAAAATACTTTTGTTTTGGCAGAGTCTTTATAAACTGGAGGTTTGTGTGACATCTCCAATTACTATATATATATCAATAATGGTTAAAAAAATTGCACTTTATGATCGTTGAATATACTGTATATATTTTGGGACTTCTAGAGGAGAATTGTTAATATTTAACATATTTATTCAGTTGTAGACATAAAGGATTAATCCTACTTTATTGTGCATGGGCTTTAGGATAGGCTTCCTTCTTTGACGACACCCATTCATGCCATTCCTCTGCAGGGCACGCCGTATTGTGTCATAGGAAACAATCACCCCAGTTTGGCTTTCTACTTCTTTAGCTAACTGTAGTGAACTTGCATGGTGATTTTCTTTAACCCTTCTCAGCAGAAGACGCTCTTGTCGAGGTGTTAACTACCATGGACAGCCTGGACGTCTCTGTGAGATGGTTGCAGTTCCATCTTTGTTAAATGTTTGTATCACTTTTGCTACAATATTCTGACTGATACGTAAAGCTTTGCTGATCTTCTTGTAGCCTTCACCTTTCTTGTGTAAAGAAATTATTTTCTTTTCTTGTGACATTTCTCTTCCATGTAGTGCCATTGCTGATAGCATGAAATGGGAAGGGGTTTTCTTTGCAACGTAATGCACTTTTATAATCAACTGTCTGCTGAACAATTGTTTAATGAATAATTAGACTCACCTGTAGTTGAATTCCTGTTAACCACTTGCCTACAGGGCACTTATAACCCCTTTTTGCCCAGGTCAGTTTTCAGCTTTCAGTGCTGTCGCACTTTGAATGACAATTGCACAGTCATGCAACACTGTACCCATATGAAATTTTTATCATTTTTTTTGAGACAGCTAGAGCTTTATTTTGGTGGTGTTTAGTCACCTCTGGGTTTTTTTATTTTTTGCTAAACAAACCAAAAACAACTGAACATTTTTTGAAAAAAAAAAGTTTTTTTTATTTTTTATTATAAAATTTTGTAAATAAGTGATTTTTCTCCTTCACTGATGAGCGCTAATGAGGCTGCACTGATGGGCACTGGTAGGTTGCACTGATGAGGAGGCACTGATAGATGGCACTGATGGGCACTGATGAGGAGGCACTGGTAGGTGGCACTGATGGGCATTGCCAGGCATCACTGACGGGGCACTGAAAGGCAGCACTCATATATGGCACTGATAGGCAGCACTGATAGGTGGCACTGATAGGTGGCACTGACTGGCACTGATAGGCAGCACTGATAGGCACTGATAGGCGGCACTGACTGGCACTGATAGGCGGCACTGACTGGCACTGATAGGTGACACTGATTGGCAGCACTGATAGGTGGCACTGACTGGCATTGATAGGTGGCACTGACTGGCACTGATAGGTGGCATTGAAGGGCAGCTCAGATGGGCACTGATATGTGGCATTGATGTGCACTGGTAGGCACTGATATGTTGCATTGATGAGGCACTGATGGGCAGTGGCAGGTGGCATTGATGGGCAATGACAGCTGGCATTGATGGACACTGGCAGGTGGCACTGCTAGGGCTACACTGATCATCAGGGCACACTGATCATCAGTGCCCTGATGGTCAGTGTAGATGTCTCCTCCGAGGAATGCCGATTACCGGCTCTCCTCTCCTCTCAAGTTGTCAGCGTGACAGCTCGTGAGGAGAGAAATGCCGATAACTGACATTTTCCTATTTACATGTGAGAAGCTGTGATTGGACACAGCTGATCACATGACCGAGACGACATCTTCGGCTCTTTCCATTGATTGGTGATCTACTGTGTCCGAGGGACACAGCACACCACCGATTGCCGCACTGCATACTCCCGGAGCTGCACATGCGCAGTTAGAGTGGGAGGACATCATATGACGTCCTCCCAGAACGAGAGAACCACCTTGCACCCGTCATTACCTTTTATGGCGGGAGGGAGGCGGTTAAATAGGATGTTGTTGTCTAAAATTAACTTTGCTCCTAAGACTTTCATTGGGGTGTATTCAAAATGGTCTTGAATGAATTTGAGTTTTTGTGTGTGCAAATTAGCAAATCTTGTTTGTAAATCAATGGCCCTAATTTGTGGGAGAATTTTGTAGTATAGTGTCTCATAGAAAATGTTGATTCTGAAAGGAAAGTAAAGGTTTTCTGACAAATCTGTTGGGTTTACTCATTATGCTGAGCACTGTATAGATAAATAGATAGATAGATAGATAGATAGATAGATAGATAGATAGATAGATAGATAGATAGATAGATAGATAGTGCCTTGGAAAGTATTCATACCCCTTGACATTTTCCACATTTTGTCATGTTACAATCAAAAACGTAAATGTATTTTATTGGGATTTTATGTGATAGACCAACACAGTGGCACATAATTGTGAAGTGGAAGGAAAATGATAAATGGTTTTCAACATATTATACAAATAAATATCTGAAAAGTGTGGCGTGCATTTGTATTCAGCCCCCGGAGTCAATACTTTGTAGATCCACCTTTCACTACAATTAGAGCTGCAAGTCTTTTTGGGTATGTCCCAATCAGCTTTGCAGATTTAGAGAGTGAATTTTGTTTCCAATTCTTCTGTGCAAAATAGCTCAAGCTCTGTCAGATTGGATGGAGAACATCTGTGAACAGCAATTTTCAAGTCTTGCCACAGATACTCAATTGGATTTAGGTCTGGACTTTGACTGGGCCATTCTAACACATGGATATGCTTTGATCTAAACCATTCCATTGTAGCTCAGGCTGTATGTTTAGGGTTGTTGTTCTGCTGGGAGGTGAACCTCTGCCCAGTCTGAAATCTTTTGCAGACTCTAATGGGTTTTCTTCTAAAATTGCCCTGTATTTGGCTCCTTGTAAACTTCCTATCAACTCTGACCAGCTTCCCTGTCCCTGCAGAAGAAAGCATCCCCACAACACGATGCTGCCACCACCACTTTTCACAGTGGAGATGGTGTGTTCAGGGTGATGTGCAGTGTTAGTTTTCCATCACACATTGCATTTTGCTTTTAGGCCAAAAAGTAAAATTTTGGTCTCATCTGAACAGAACACTATCTTCCACATATTTTCTGTGCCCCCCACATGGCTTCTCACAAACTGGAAATGGGAATTCTTATGGCTTTCTTTCAATAATGACTTTCATCCATAAAGGCCAGATTTTTGGAGTGCATGACTAATAGTTGCCCTGTGGACAGATTCTCCTACCTGAGCTGTGAATCTCTGCAGCTCCTCTAGAGTTACCATGGGCCTCTTGGCTGCTTCTCTGATTAATGCTCTCCCTGCCCGGCCTGTCAGATTTAGTGGTCGGCCATGTCTTCGTAGGTTTGCAGATGTGCCATACTCTTTCCATTTTCTGATGATGGATTGAACAGTACTCCGTGAGATGTTCAAAGCTTGGGATATATTTTTATAACCTACCCCTGCTATAAACATCTCCACAACTTTATCCGTGACCTGTCTGGTGTGTTCCTTGGCCTTCATGATGCTGTTTGTCCACTAATGTTCTCTAACAAAGCTCTGAGGGCTTCACAGAACAGCTGTATTTATACTGAGATTAAATTACACACAGGTGGGCTCTATTTACTAATTAGGTGAATTCTGAATGCAATTGGTTCCATTAGATTTTAGTTAGGAGTATCGGAATAAAGGAGGCAGAATACAAACACACGCCACACTTTTCACAAATTTATTTATAAAAAATTTTGAAAGTCATTTATCATTTTCTTTCCACTTCACAATTATATGCCACTTTGTGTTGGTCTATCACATAAAATCCCAATAAAATGCATTCAAGTTTTTGGTTGTAACTTGACAAAATGTGGAAAATTTCAAGGGGTATGAACACTTTTTCAAGGCACTATATAATATATATGTCAATACAAGGTGTACTACAAACCCATTTCTCGTATTTTGGTGTCGTCTGCTGGAATTCGTTCATGGCTCCTTTCTTATGTAGAATAATACAAAGTAACTGCAGCACCTCTCTTCTTTATTTATCCAGCAGGAATGCCAGTTCAATGTCAGTTTTGTAGCTGCCAACAATAGGGAGTGGGGTGGGGTGTGTAGCAATCGTGCACACAGAGACGGACGCGGCCCTCCTGTTTGTTAAGAATTTTCTATGTTGTACCATTTCGCCCTCCCAAAGCAGGCTGCCTCCTCCAATCATCCCTCCCGCTCCCTCTCTGTTGAGTGACATGTGGTCTGAGTGTGTTTGCAGAGGTCACAGGCAGCCAAAGCACAGTAGGAGAGCTCCAGAGTTATAGAACCCCCAACGGAACTGGGGCCTAGCTGTCTGTTCGCTGTGCAATCTGGGATATCGTAAAAGTGTAAACCAAGTCCCTCACTTCAAAAGACCTTCCAAGGGGTCTTACTTTTTTTTTTTGTATTAACAATTTTTATTGGTTTTCAAATAAGTAAATTATAAACAGAACAGAGAGAAACATCGATGGCATAACTACATATAATCATGTCCAATAGAATCATACAAAGTCATACAAAATCAGTGCAGAAACAATCAGGATCTTAGATTCGAGCCGGCAAAGAGGAAATGAAGGAATCCCACGGGAGCCAAATCAACTCAAATACAGCAGACAAACAATTATGTAAAGCAGTCAAATACTCCATCCGTCTTACTTCAGCAATAAGTTTGTACAAAGTCAGCAGTGTGGGGGGAGTAGAAGATAACCAACCCATAGGAATACTTCTCCTGGCCGCGGTCAACACGTGAGCAGCAAGTTTTCTGGCTGGATTAGATAGACCCGGGAATGGCAAGCCCAGCAAAAAATGCAGAGGGTCAAAAGGGAGCGAGGCATGCAGCATTGATTGCAACAAGGAACGGACATCCTCCCAAAAAGGAACAATAGATTTACAAGTCCAAAAAAATATGATAGAGAGAACCTGAATCCTTACCACAGCGCCAGCAGACAGGAGAAGCACTCGGGTTGAAAGCATGAAGAACCTCAGGTGTTTTGTACCATAACATCATAATCTTATAAATGTTTTCCTTAAAAACCACACAAACAGAAGATTTAGATGCATTTACCCAAATATTCTTCCACGTCAGTAAATCAATATCACGTTGTACAAACTGAGACCACCTACGCATGTAAAGGTGAGTTTCATTAGATAAAGGGGATGCAGCCATAAGAATTTTATAAGTATTGGAGATAATACCCCTTTGGTGGGGGCTCTGCATACATAAACGTTCGAAGGGTGTAGGCTTCCCCAGGATCAATGAGGGTGATAGAGTAGAGAAAAAATGGCGTATTTGGAAATATATATATAGGTGATGAGGAGGTAAAGAAGCTTTTTTCTGGAGATCCGGGAATGAATGTAATTTACGGGTCACCGGATGTACCAAGTGACGCAATTGAAAAAGGTTAGATACCACCCAAAGAGACATCCGAGATATGGCCATATTGTCTGGCAGGTTAGGGTTGTAGAGGATATTTGTCAAAGGGGAGCATTCAGAGGCTAGAGTAAATTGAGTCTTACATTTCTGCCATACCGTCAATGAAAATTGCATGGGACCAAGGAATAGATGGCGGAAAAAAGAGATATCCACTGCCGCGGTGGACCAAAGAAGGGAACAATGATGAACTGGGGACAGTTGTAAAGATTCAATCTCAGTCCATGTGTTGGGAGGGTGTTGCGTGGACCATGACAGAAGAAAACTAAGGTGAGTTGCATAATAATACTTGATTATATCCGGCGCTCCCAGACCTCCCCTAGAACGCGGAGAAAGCAGAACAGAACGTGCAATCCTGTGCCGCATATTGTGCCAGATAAAGTGTAGGAAAGATTTCTGAAGCGAGTGAAGCTTGGACATAGGAACGGGAACGGGGAGAGTTGCAAACAAGTACAAGAGTTTGGGCAACACGGTCATTTTTAGAACGTTAATGCGACCGAGAAAAGAGATGGGCAAGGCATCCCAACGTTTCAGAGAGCGAGAGATTGCTATAAACAAAGGGGGGAAATTGGCCTCTTATATGGATTGGAGAGAGAGAATATTAGTACCTAAATATTTTAAAGAGTGTGTGCACCACCGGTAGGGAAAGGCTTCCTGAAGCGAGGACAAAACGATAGGTGGGATATGTATTGGGAGTGCCTCAGTTTTGGACGTATTGACTTTGTAACCTGAAATAGCCCCAAATTGTTTCAAGGACTTATGCAAAATCGGTAAAGAAGTATGGGGACTCGTAAGCGTGAGAAGAATGTCATCTGCAAATAACGATAATTTGTACTCATGGGAATGTGACTGTATCTCGCGAATATCTGGGTTTGACCTAATAGCGATGGCTAGAGGTTCCAGACAAAGAATAAACAGTAAAGGAGAAAGTGGGCAGCCCTGACGCGTTCCGTTTGACATCTGAAAGGGAGGCGAGAGAAAAGAAGCTAATCTGACCTGTGAAAGGGGGAATGAATAGAGGGCCTTCAAAGCTGCTACAAATGGACCTTTGAAACCAAATCTCTCCAAGACCATGAACATATAAGGCCAGCTTAAACGGTCGAAAGCTTTTTGAGCGTCCAAGCTTAATAACACTGTAGGGGTAGAGGACCTGTTAACCAGATCAACCAGATCAATAGTTCTCCTAGTGTTATCTGCGGCATGTCTGGCAGGTACAAAGCCCACTTGATCCCTATGTATGATCTTGGAGATGATTCCGGACAATCGGTTGGCTAAAATTTTGGTAAAAATCTTATAATCGGAATTGAGTAGGGCAATGGGGCGGTAGTTGTCCACGATAGAATGGTCCTTATCGGGTTTAGGGATGACCGAGATATATGCACGGGAGAATT